TCCATTCTTGCATAAAACCAAAATATTCATTCTGTTGCCTAGTGTTATTAATATTAATGGGAATTTCGTTTATCTTTTAAAACAACGTTAATTCTTGGAATACCAAGTAATATTTCGTATTACTGTCAAATTATTTTCTTAATTAGCCAGCCATCTAATTATTATGATTAGTTTATTTGTGATCATGTTATTCTATTAATTATCAGCCAAACATTGAATAATAATTTATGGAAAAAATATCTCTATTAATTTATTTAAAACAAAAGAATGTAATTTTATCCAATAACTAATTAGCTTTAATGTAGTCTCGTTCTTTTTAGACGCTTCAACCAATTATTCTTGGTAAAAAATCTAGTGGTTGGATAATTAGGAACATAGTCGGAAATAGGCGCTTTTACGTCAACTTAACGACTTACCATTCAATTTCATGTTATTTTCTACATATATTAAAAGCGTGTAAAAGCAAGTGAGCTATTTTGTACTTTTTTTTTTTTTTTAAACTCATAACAAATGCCCTGACTAATAATAACAGTAAAAAATATTATTATAAATAAATGTAATAATTACTGTATTCTGCAGAAAACAATTCCTTTTTGCTGTTAGATAAAAGATTACAATTTAATGAAGTTCGGAATGAATGATTCTGATGATTATAACTTTCTCAAACATCAAAAGAAAGGTATCAATGTTGAATAGACTTGTTTGATCCATGACTAACCTAGATGTCAAGTATCTAATCTACTGTTATACCGATCAAAAACCTGGAAATTCCGGGTATCATAGAAAGACTAGGAAAAATCGAATTTTTGTTTAGGCTTTTGAAAGAAAAAAAATAGGACATGTAGGTAAACTGGTATGTTAAAAACCTTCATAAACTTCAAATGTCAGATTATACAAAAAATATATAATAAAAAGTATATGATGGGATTATGTGTTCCAATGTTGAATTAAATACTTTTTTTAATCATCAATGTAATGAAATGTGAAACCTGGTCTTTAACGAAAAATCCTAGATGACACATCTGACACACTTGATGGTTAAATGAATTTATGACGACAGATCTAGTTTAGTTAGGGAGTTTTTCTCCCTTTTAACGAGACGCCAAATAAGATCCATCGTCTAAAGATAGCCGAGATTGCGGCATTTGGCGGATTTCTCCATTTCTGTATTATAAAGGACCAAGATGGACGTCGTTTGTCATTGGTATCTCGAGATGTAGTTTGCCAAAGTGCCGGCATCTATATATATTGCCTTCCCTTTTCCTCACCACCCCTTTCGCTTAGCCCTCACTTCGATTCCTTTTTTTTCTCTCACTTCCTCTTTCCTCTTTTACCCTCAACTACTTTTCTCCCCCTTTTCTATCAGCCCCCAGCCCTTTTTCCACTGACAAGCATCGACTCTGTATAGTCAGACATCCAGAGAGTTGATGTCTATGCTCTCTTTCGTCATCTGGGATACGCCCAATTTTTTTTATTTGCCTCAACTTTAATCTACCACAACTTCCTTTTTCATGTTCATTACTATTTTTTTTTTCCCAACCAATGAAACAAAAAAATATGGAAATTTTTATAACTGAAAAGTATCGTTCACTGAGATTTCTCGGACATACTTCATGCTCTATAAGTGCAAATTTGGCAATTTTCCAAGGTGCATGACATGTTCGAAAGCTAACGCACGTGTATCGCACGTGCATCTGATGTATCAGAGTGTCTATATAATCATATGATATTGTCGAAAGAGAGAGAGAAAAAAAAAAGACTGAAATGTATATGTACATGTTGGTGTATATAGATAAAAATAAACTGCAGGAATAAAAATTGGTTGCAGCATGAAAAATTTTATCGAATAGAGAAAGAGATAGAGAAAAATGTGAAGGATGTACGTGACCCGTACGATGCATTCGTGCGATAAAAATTCACAGAGACTCGAGCAAGCGTTCATTCAATTGTCTACTGAATCGGAAGAACAATCTCCAATAACTTAATTCTATTCTCACTCACATTTATTGTATTAAACAATCGATTAATTGCAATAAAAAGAAGTATAATCAAACGATTTTTTAAATCTATTACTGTTAACTAAACACCTTCATAATTGACTTGGCAATCATAATAACATATCAGAATTAGCTTAAGAATATTTTTACATTCCTCTCTGGGAACACACGTATATCAACTATTCATTTATTTAAAGGTTAAATAAACATTACTAATATTTGATGATTATCTTAAAAGATACCGTTTACAAGTAAAGTGCATAAGACTAATTGCTCAATAATTATGATTCATCCACGATATCGAAATTATAATTTCCATTTATATGAAAATATTGAGAAATGGAAATAAATGAAACAATTACCTCAATGTATTTCATGAAAATATGTTTATCAGACAATTATTTATTAATAAACATCGATAATAAAATCATCATTATGAATGTAAATGCATTATTAAATCATTTTATCAGTAAATTATTTATTCTGTAAGATCAATAAATAAAATACAAATTTCTTATTCATTGATAAAATCACGTAATTAATCATTTGTGGAGTATTTGGCAAATAAATTAAAATTCTTCTATATAGTTTTAAGTGATTTTATAATTATTAGAAAGAGATTATTTGTAATGAAAATATTATCATCTAATTTTAATTACAATCACTGTTTCTATTTATTTATTATGCAAATACTATACAAATATTAATTAATTAAAATTAATTATTAATTAATTGGCAAGTTAATTAATTTTTCGGCAAATAATTCTATTAAACTACCATGAATTATGGAAATATCAAGTTTACCCTTTCATACTGATTGAAAACAATCAATCAATTTAAGTACTTAATCAACCGAACATTACTCCTGGAAAAAGTATTTGATGAAAATTTTTCATGAACCCAAAAAAGTTGTTAATTAAGACGATTAGTATTTTTCATCGTTACCACGTTAGTAGAACTTTATCGAGAAGAAAAATTTTCCTTTTTTTTTAATAAAAAAAAAATACTTTTTGTCTTCTTGACATTTTCATTTCAAAATAATGTTCTGAAAATGTTCATTTCATTTTAAAAGATGATGGTAATTTGAGCGTCTCATTTCCATTTCTAATGCTCATTTTATTCACGATATACTCGGTGTTTCAATAAGCCAAATAAACACTGTAATATCTACTTTAATCTATTAAATTATTTTTACCTCCAATCACATTTAGCTCTGAATGTTCTGATAAAAATTACGTTAATATCAGTAATTTTTAATTAAATAAAATTATTCGCAATTCTCTTGTGACATATGTGACTAAATGATTCAAGTAATAATTATTACCATAAAAATATTCTCTCATATTCAAGCTCTAATATAATGTAAAAGTGAAAATTAAATGTTACGAAAAAAAAGCTTCCAGTACGAGCAATCCATCTTTGTAATTGAATACTTTGAAAAAGTTTCATATGGCCTTTAGTCAGTACAATGGATTTTTTGTGTCAAATAAAAATATTTTAAACTTTTCAATAGAATTTTTATCATGAAAAACAAAATCGTTACATTACTAATAATTTATTCAATTGATTAATAGACTAGACATCTATTTCCTTGATTAGATATATGTGCGTTTCACTATCTTGGTCATTTGCATAGGAGTCTATTGGAAGCACAACGAATTAAACTGACATGTATACCATTAAGAAGGCGGGTGGCACAGATAAGGTGTCTCATTAGGCTATTCAGAATTTAATTTCACTGTAATTGAATTATAAAACTATTCATGTAACATTCATTCCACACAGTAAACTTTTATTTATATTATTGCTATAAAAATACGTTATCTGTCACTAGTAAACCCTTATCATGAATTTATTAAAGTTTACAAACATTGATATCTTTTATTTTAATTAATTCTAATTCGGTAGGATAATTTAATGAGATAAATGTTTAATCAAAAGTTTATTTACGATTATTTTATCACAGGTGTAAATAATTGGCTTTTAAGAAAATTTATCTCTTTTTTCTTTTAATTACTGATTGATTTTATTTAAAGGTGAGATTTATTAGTGATTATTAACAACGAATTGGATGAGATACAGACTTTTTACTAATTAATTTTATTTTTATAACAATTAAAGTTTAAATAAATGTCAGAATTTACAGTTTTTTTTTATAGATGAACAATTATTTTAACTGTTTAAATAAATAAGTAAATTTGTTCTCCACTGATTTACTATATTTGTGTTCGTGACCTTTTTTTATCTAATTTAAATATTTAATGATTGAATATAAATCTATTCAATCAACTCAGTTACTTTAATATATAAATTCTATAAAATATTTTCATTATCTTTTGGAATAACTGAATCATCGTTAAACGAAATAGAAAATAATATAAAAATATGATAAAAGCATAATTTTTATTTCAAAAAACAATCAAGATTTTGATCGAAAAACAAAATTGATTTCATTTTGACTACCTAGTTTTTCGATTTCCCTTAAGTGCTTTACAATAAGACGAAAAATAGATTGCTACTGGTGTTTCTTTATATAAAAACCCAAAAAAAAAGACAAAACTATAAATAGAAACAGACCTGGAGAAGATAGACAGTAAAATAAATATAAGATGTTGAAAGCTATAAAAAGACTGAATTAGAAATCCATAAAAAAAAAATTGCATGCTGTAAAAAGCAAGAAAATAGTGGCATTTGATTTCCAAGAATCCCAAATTATGATAACCATAACTTGATCCCCGTATTTTCCTACGTGACATATTCATGAGGATTATTGTCGTAGACAGCCGTAGCAAAGTTGTAGCAAGGGTGAAAGGGTCGTTACGGTTGATAGCGCGTGTAAAGAGGAGGGTACTACTGAGATGCTAGAGTCAGGGCGCCATGATGTTAGAGACCTAGCCTATGCTTTAACACATGGAATAAGCTAGACTAGAACCCTAAACAATAAACAGCCTTATCGTACTTAGTGGATGTAGTTTGTATTAAAGTTGTTTGTAATGTTTGCAGGGACACCTGGCCCGAGGAAAAAGGTGACCGTATGGAATGGCGACGCGATTCTCCATATTTCCGGCGTTGCCGATAGCGTTGATTATCTTCACCGCAATCACCAACGTTTTCAGCATCAGTGACTTGTGTCCAGCTCGGTGCAAATGCGAGGATGAATTTCTACGGGCTGCGTGTGTATTTGCTAGTTTGGAAGTCGTACCAATTCAGCTAAACCCAGAGATTAAACATTTGGATTTATCAAATAACCGCATTGGATCCTTAAATTTAGGATTTGCCTTCTATGATAATTTAGAAAGTTTGGATTTATCATTTAACAACCTTCATACTCTTGGAACTGATAATTTTATGCTACAAACACGTCTAGTGACGCTAAATGTAAGCAATAATAACATTCGAGGTATCTCAAAAAATGCCTTAAAAGGCTTGGAGTCAATGAAACTCCTAGATCTTAGCAATAATAATATTACTGATATGGATAGTCAAGCATTTCGTTATGCAAGTGAATTGGAAAAAGTTGATTTGAGTGGAAATTCACTTACAAGCTTACCCCAAGGGCTTTTAAATAATCTCCATCGAATAAAGAATCTCAAATTAGCAAGAAACTCACTTCTAGAAGTGCCAACAAGTAATTTGGATCTTGCTCCAAGTTTAGAAGTGTTAGATCTGTCAGACAATCTTATTCAAGAGATTCCACGAAATGCAGTACCATCATTAAGATCATTGGTATCCCTAAATCTGGCCAATAATGTCATAAGAAGCGTTGATGACAATGCTTTCGAACGTTTGCCAGCACTGTTATATTTAAACCTACAAGGTAACAATTTGACTGATGTTCCAACGCCAGCACTTGCCAAGTTGAATGTTTTGTCATACTTGGTATTGTCTCGAAATCCTCTGGAAGAGTTAAATGATCTGGCATTTCGCAACTTGTTTGAATTAAAAACGCTGGATTTACGAGAATGTACAATAGGTTCAATCCAACCACGTGCATTTGCTGACAATGTAAACTTGGAGCAGATATTTTTAGATGGTAATCATGAGCTTCACTACCTGCCTCCAAGGGTCCTCCATGCAGCTAGATACTTGACAACAGTGTCATTGCGTCGCTGCAACTTGTCTACTCTTGAACCAACCCACTTTCCCGTTGATGGGCTAACAAATTTACAAATTGGAGGGAATCCTCTAGTGTGTAATTGTTCGATCCACTGGCTATGGAATGTAATCCAGATGGAAGATCGTAGAAATACCACAAAGTTGGTAGTAGATCGTGAAGAAATAATTTGCACCGATGAGGAATTTGCTGGAAAGCTTTTGATGAACCTGGCTGAAAGTTCTTTGCGTTGCCGCTTGAGCCCACTTTATCTATCTCTCTCTGCTATAGGCTGTTTAGCTGCTACAGCTATGATTTTAGCTCTTATAGGATACATCACCAAAATGAAACGACAAAAAAGACCTTTTGAAACGTCCAACAGACCAGAATTGTTGGTTTACGTGGGTCCAACTCAAGAACCTGCTAAACCACCAGTTAATAATGCTACTTATCCCAACAGAATAATTAATAGGAATCCAGATGGATTCTACAATTTGTCCAATCCCAAGCTAAATAATCATCAAGCTGAATCTTATTATGATACACCTGAATTTCACCCACAGACCAACTCCAGGAACAATTTTAGGGATAATTCTGGCTTCTATACTAATAAACCGAGTGTTGAGGGTGTCTATGCTGTTACGGATGTCACAAATTTGAGGAACACCGCACCGGAGGTGCATTCACTTTATAGAATGCATAGTCCAAAGGTTCAAAGAGTTGGGTCTAGTAATAGGGAATATGATTGTGATTATGATTATGATTATTATCAACCAACCATCACGCCACAAAAGCCACATGTTGTCTTTGTTTGAGTACGTACTTAAGGTCCGGCTTTTTTAACGCTTGGTGCCTTATTATTCTGCTACGTTTTTTGTGTAAAATATTTTTTAATTACTTTAAGTGACGAAAGTAAGAAGAAAAAAAAAAAATTTGTAAATGTAAAGAGATTATTTTTGTTTTTATTTTTTTGTAAAAAATATTTTACTTTGCTTCTTTCATATGTATTTTTTGTATAGTCAGTGCCAATATTATTGAAATGTTACTACGACGAATTTATTGTGAACAAATAAATTAATTAAATGCGGGTATAATTAAAAAAGAAAAATTGACATTTTTCGATAAACTAAACACTTTTTTGAGCAATAACAATACACTTTCATACTACACTATACCTTTATTAGGTACTTTTATGTATAAGAAAAAGGTCTAGTTATTGACGAAATTTAATAATTAATTATTAATAGTTAAAAATAACAAAAAGTGTATACGTGATTTTGAAACAATTCAAGAGTCCAAGAAAGAGAGAAAAATAATTGGTTTAAAATTCAATGAAAAACAAACATTTTGATGATTTAATTTATATTATATGTATTTAATGGAATAACAATTTATTAATGAAAATTTTAATTCAGGCTTTTAGCCAATAGCAATCAATATTTTAATGTTATAATTCAATTCATTTCTTGTTTGAAAAACAAAAGACAAGTATGTATTGTCAATAATACATTATTCAATACCTAAAAGCTTGAATAAAAATTAAATATATAGAACAATAATTTATATTTCATTTAAACGTTAGTTATAATTTAAAATATTATTTAATCCTTCTATTCATCAAAAAATTAGGTTATCAATAATCAAGAAAATTGGAGAGTAATAATGGAGCAGAAATAGCATGCTCAAAATCAAACGTGCTACGAAATAAAAATCTCAATGTATTATTTATTTTCGATTGTAGAGATAGGGAACTATTTTTTATACGTTGATCAATATCATGACCAGTTTCATATATTGCTAGTCTATAAAGCACGCAGAAAAGGTCTATGAATAACTGAAATTCATATTTTTTTAATTTACATTTTTGTTGTCAACATGGTATGAACTTTTCTTGGGCCCTTAAATTATAGAATATTTATGTCTTCCGAGAGAATGACAAAAAAAAAAGTTTTTTGTAATGAAAAGAGGAAAAAAAAAATGATAATAATGAAAAATAACACAAAAAATGCATTTTTTATATATTATGCAAACGATGGAAAAAAATCAAACTTGCTATTTTAAAATGCCAAGATACCTGATAAGATGAATTGATAAAGTGATGATTACATACACGCTATCGGCGAACAATTTTTTCAAACTTTACAAAAGCGTCAACGAAATTTTCGAATGGTAATTTTTCTCGTGATAATTGTATTGATATAATAATAAATAACGAGAATGAATTCCAGTTAAGTTGCGTTATTGATGAACTGAGAAATAAATATAATAAAAAGTATAATTATGATTACGATAATAATAAAAAATTAACGAAGCAATAATTGATAAAAAAATAATAAGCAAAAAAAATCTATCGTTATATAAACACAAAAATGCGCGGAATATTATTAATTTTACGATTTTATGATATATTGTATCTATATATTTATTAATAAGATATATAAAATTGATACTTAGACATAAATGTACAATTCAAAAAATACGCTGACACACATACACACATGTTTAATAAATAAGTTTATCAATAATTTATAACATAACTCAACTTGTATTATAAACAGTATATTTATTTATTAATTTATAATAATGTTATGTTTTTTGAAATAAAAATATACTTAATAAATTGTGCCTAATTAGTATTTTACCTACTCCCAATGAAAATACAATAGAATGTGAGTTTTTTTTTCAAATTCATTATCATACGAAACATAACGTATGTTTATTTCATGAATTGTAAATTAGTGAAATAAAATCTTTCAATGCTCTGTGTTGGTATACACATTCAGCTCGTTAGTAACGTCCTGTTGAAATACTTGAATTTTAATTTTTGTTCTTTACTTATTTATGCATTTTATAAGAGGGTCATAATGAACAATCGTTATATACTATTTTACACATTATCATACGTGTTCTAGTATTTAAATTTTTTATATCTGTTGTAATAATTATTTATTGCTGTTGGAAAATATGTGTATACTACTTCCTTGTTTTTCTAGTTTATTGATGATTTTTATCTCCAAAATGATAAATTGTTTTTCAAACATGTAGAGCGTAATAACTAATTATAAAAAGACATTCTCTTTATTTTTTATTTATTTATAAAAAATTAGACTCAATTTAAATTTAGAGCTAAGTAGAGAATTTATTTCACTAGGGAAAAATATTTTTTTTTACCCGGTAGAAAACTTTCAAACTTCTTGAACATCTTACAGCACTTCGGCCTAGTTTACAGTAGAATAGAAAAAAAAATATTATTTATCGCAGTGCCATATATAGCTTAAATCTAACTTTAAAGTAAAGCTAATGCTTATAAATATAATTCAAAATCAATTCTTGAAGCACTATAGAATTCTCCAGCCTGTCCAGCACGTCTCACCCACGCGCCACTTTTGAAATAACCTTCTTTTGCCCAAGAGAACATTTGTTCTGTTGTGTGGGGACCATTTATTTCTGCATCATCATTCTGCGACCATTTCAATTCCCACTTCACTATATTCTCTGTATTATCTTGATCTTGAATGCTATTGCTCCCCGATGATTCGCCACTTGGTTTCACTTCATTTTTAGTTAGCTTATTCTGCTCTTTTGTATCAAAATCATCAGAATACATGTCTAATTCAGCTGGCTTCGCAGCAAGTGATTTATTATCAGCCGATTCAATTTTTCTCTTTATCGCTTCGTAAGTTTCTTGATAAATATCCATATTGCCAGTGCGAGTCAATAATGTATTAGCTAACTCAGTCAGTTTTATGATTTTTTCTGAATTTTCATCAGTTTCACTTAACCCTGCCTTTTTGCGCTTCCATCGTTCTGCTGATGAAATGGGCTTTTTTCCTTTTCCTACAAAATCCATTACTCATGTTAGGTATGAATTATCAAATGAAATTACTTTTTAATAGTATAGAATAATAGAGAAAGTTTCTATCATATTTTCAAGCGTACTAAAGATCAAACAAATGATTAATTATAAATAAATAAATGTTCAAAACTTACCAAGCCTGCACAAAGCTTTAGAAACTGTTTCTCCTGGTTTTAAATATTCGAATATTTGCTTGTATAATTCTGTCGGATTGAAGTTCAAATTGCTTTCAGCTTCATCATCACTCTCACTATCAGCAATTCCTTTCTCTCCATTATCATCACCATCCTTATTAGCATTATCTTCACTAGTTCCAGTTCTAGGTTCTATCTAAAATTAGAAATAATTATTTGAAATGGAATCGTAATTAAATTGTCGAACAATTAAGTAAAAGAGAGAAAGAAAGAGCTATTCAATTAGTTTACTTTAATCCAGTCGATATTATCCAGCCAATTGTCGCGAATTTTTTTCTCCTTGTCCCAGAGATAATGACCGTCTTTATCAAAATGCCCCTCTTCTAATTCTTCTTTCATATTGAATGCAGTGAATCCAACTTTAGCTTCTTTAGACATTGGACCTTCTTCAACACCTATTAAAAGATTTAATCGAATTATTTTCACTTTATTATTTTTAAAAATAAATGATGCAAAATGATAATAATTATAGAATAAGGTAAGCAGCAGATTAGTGTTTATTTGAATATACCTTCAAAGTCATTCTCATGCATAACGTTGTAATTAGCTTCATTAGCATCATCGTCTTCTTCATCAGAGTCTAATGAATTTTTCTTCTTATCCATACTTGTTGATTTGTTTATTGGAGCTTCTGACCACACTTTTTCCTCCGTAAGAATATCTTCAAATTTTCGTTTCGGCATAAAGATTTTTCACTAAATTACTTCTCTTCACAAATAGAAACTATTAAAGATAGTTTGTCTTTAGAGAGTGAATCGATTGTTACTTAAACGTTTGTATTCGTGCAAATGAAAACATTACAAATTTTATAGGTTATATTTTTTTACACGTAAAGTAAACGTAGATACAGGGGAAAGGAAATGTTTGCCTTCAATATTTACTGTGTCGATATGATAGAACAAAGTTTAATGTGGCAATCAAGTACCTGGCCAAGTCGTGAGGTGACAGATCACGTCAGTTTTAAAAATGGAGCAAAAAAGTTGATTAAATTTAAAATTTATGCAAACAATATTTGCAAAATTTACATTTGTTAGACATATACAAATTATGTCATTTTTATTCTAATTTTATTAATGCGTTAACAACTTATTACAAGACAGTTTTTAATTTTTATCAATAAATATCATCATTATAAATCAAATTATTTAACTTTTACTAACTGAAAAAAAACATAAAACAAAGTATTGATAAAAATGATATTGAAATTAGAGAAATTTATGAGTAAAAAATCAATATTATCTGTCGTTGTATCAAATTACCTCTAAATTTGGAGCAAAGATGCACCAATTGTGGTATAGTTTCAACGGAAATACTAGATTGCTATTGGCCATTGGACAAAAGTGGAACAATGGCCTGAATATCTCTTACTCGACAAATTATCTTATTATTTCATTGTATAAAGCTATTTCAGTTATTATTTTAACTTGAAGTTAATAAAATCATTATAATTTCTTTGATTTTCTGTAAACAAATATTTATTTATTGCTAAGTGAGATGAATTTTTATACTGCGACGATCACCACATGTTCTACTTATTATCTAATAGGTAATCTAGATTACTCATTCTAACTAAGGTTGTGGAAGTGAACACATTCTGAAAAAATCATCTCAATATAATATCTAAAAGTTATCTAGAAGTTCAGCTGGAGGTAGTGATGTTCGTGCTCGTTACCACACACCATGTTTTTACCAGTTCCACATAAGTTGATAAAAAAATTGGAAAACAATCATTTTAAGATGGAGATTACAACAATTCAGCTTGTAAATCAATCCATCATTGCAAGGAATTTTGATTCTTGAATTTGAATAAGAATTATTAGTTTCATTTGTGAGAAATGAAAATTTTTGCCAAGTCGTATAATTTACGTGTTTAGAATATTATTATATTCTAAGTATTTTATCAAGTGTTAACACTTGAGTATTAATATTCGCGATAAAAATATGAAATCTTGATGGTTTCACAATAAATGACAAATAAAATTGGGAAGTGACCAACGAAAAAAATATTAGTGGACATGAGATCTATTCTAACGGAGTACAAAAGGAAAACAAAAATTTAAACATGCCAAATTTACGTAAAAAAGTAGTGGGTTTTATGCGTCAATTATCAATAAGCAACTTGACGGCTGCTGTTGAAAGTATTGGTCAGAATGACAATTCTTTACATTCACCCAGATCAGGTGGATGTTTTGTCACACGATACTTGGATGGGTAAGTTAACTATCAATGAACTATACCACATGATGAACAATTTCATTGAACTGTCTATAATCATTTTTATTTCAGTCAAGAGGAAAAAGTTGAAGGACCGATAGTCTTACATGGAAGAAATCCAGAGGAATTGCCATCTAAAACTCTTGATAAAATTGATGACAATGAAGAAGTTTTTGCAGCATTAACTGGACCTGATAGAGGTCTGACGACAGTTAATCTTGAACAGAAGCATTTAAGTATCAGTGACCCGGATGTGGACTACATTGATATATTAGAGCAAAATGAACAGCAATCAACAGGTAATTTGTCTCAAAATTATACTAATTTTCTACTAATGTATGTTTATTTAATGTAAAACCCTTTATATCTTACTAACGCTCTTTAAATTGCTAAAAATTGATGTTTGTCCTAATTTAATATTGTTGGAGTTTTAACGAGTGATGAATTTATTAACTTAATTCAAGATATAATGGGTTCATTAAAATTATTATGAATAACTTACTAATTTTCTACAATGAAATTTAATTAAAATAATTATAATAAAAATGACAATGCAGTTAATTCCTCGATGGATTGTATATTTTCCATGGCACACAATCGTTGGTTATTAATCCGTACCAATGGATCGTGTCCAATTGATAATAGTTCTATAAAAATTCGTGCTGCTGGAAAATTATATGAACCTGATCACAAATACACCAATGACAATGATTCAAATCACCATACCAAATCAAAAATTGACAGTCAAACAAATGTTATCAATATTGACTCTTCAGACAAAATAGATGACTCGAAAAATTCTAATTTTAAACTTGCCAATAATTCTGATAAGGATTCTAAAAACACTAAAAAATCTGGAAATGTTCGATTTCATATTAAAACCTATAACAGTATTAATATTATCAATAATTCGCCAGATATCTCTAGCACCAAAAATAGTATTCAAATCGATAGTGTCAGTGATATGACTAATAATTGCTACTATGAAAATTCTGACTCATCTGGAAAACATGAAGCCTTTGAAGGTTCTGAAGCATCAAGTGATAGCATTGATACCTCAGACAATGATAAAATTTTATTGTCACCGGTGTCTAATAATACTTTGGACGATCTAGACAACGACAAGATTGATAACGATATTATTATTGCACCTCCCAAGGAATTCGCTACTGAAATGATTCCACTCAGGAAATCAAAAAGTGCACCTGCGCCCTTCAAAAATGCTCATAAAGGTGCCATTATGTATAAAAATTATTTTTTAGCATGTTTGAAGCATGCTTTTAGTAAGCTAAAGCATTAAAAGAAATTAAATTTAAGTACATTTTTCATTATAATATTTTTTCGAAAATTAGAGAATGATTTTTTTCTTGTTGATCAGCTATATTTAAAAAATTTTTTCATTTAGTTTGCTTCGCATGATTATGGTCATTTCATCAATAAGCACATCTAAGACGACTAAGTAGTTGATAAATTTAAAAAAAAAATTGTAGACTGAGATTTTAATTAAAATAATATTTTACAGATTCTCTGACAAATCTGGAGATTGCAGGTGTCAAAAATTGGTTTTTACCTCATGATCTAGCATATGGAATTGCCACAACTTTATACGAAAAAAATCCAACAACTGATATTAACAATGGAGAACCCATTGCTGATTGTTTTGGAATTGCTGCCAGACCAAACGCTGCCATTTTAGCACTAGCCGATGGTGTTAATTGGGGTATGAATTCTTTATCCGTTTATTAATAACCATCAAAGCGCAGCGGTATGTGTAGTTTAATTAAATAATGTTTTTCATGAATAATATTAGGTCCTAAAGCTAGCTTAGCTGCTAGATCTGCTGTTCATGGAAGTATGGAGTACTTGAATAAAGCATTATTTTCATCGCCATTGAATTGTGGCATTACAACGACAAGAGATGTTTTTATAGCCTTATTACGTTCCTTCCATGCTGCACACTCATTAATTCTTCAAGAACAAGGGATGCTCACGACTTTGACTGTGTGTGTTATTTTACCTCTCACGAAGCCCTCCGATAATAATTCACAGTTGAAGAAGTATGTCGCCTGTACATGCAATGTTGGAGACAGTCTTGCATACGTTTATTCCAAGTAATTAATTATCTTCTTGATTATTTAGAAACCTCTTTTGTTATACTTTAATTATTTTATTTATGCAATGGCTTGTTTATAGAAAAACTGGTGTTAGAGAAATAACTAGAGGCTCTCACGATATTTATTGTATGCGTGATATGCGTGATGCACTTGGTGCACTTGGACCGGTTGATGGATGTAATCCAGAATTAAATAACTTGACTTTAGCTATGACTGAAGTTGAGAAAGGAGATATTGTTTTTCTTACTAGTGATGGGATCTCAGATAACTTTGATCCAGTTGTTGGAAAGTTTGCAGTTTTGCCAAATACTAATACTAATAGCAATCACAAAGCTGGACGAAGTGATGGATCACAAATCAAAAATACTAAAGTAGAAAGTAATAGAAATTATAGTACTCATAGTAGTAATAGCAATGGTTTACCCATAGTCCAAGCTTATCAAAGGCACGAATTAACTCTATTAAGAATGGAAGATTTGTTGAGGTGTGGAGTTTCTGGTAATGGTCCACCGTGTGATAGTGCTAAAAAACTATGCGAATCACTTCTTGATTTTGCAGTAAGTATTTGTTACTTTTTATAAAGATATAAAGAGTTATGATTCAACTTTATAATAATTATTCACATAGCTTAGTGTATGAAGAATATTTTCATGTATAACTTTTGTTCGATTAAATTTTAAGGTCAGAATTACGGCAGCTAAAAGGAGAATTCTAGAAGATGCTGACCTATATTACGATCAACATAAAAATGGGCAGTTAATTCAGTTATCAAAACCAGAACAGCGCTCACGAAGAAAGAAAATACTTGATAAAATGTCAATGGTCCCTGGAAAATTAGACCATGCAACAGTAGTTGCTTATGTCGTAGGCGCATTCCATAAAACAGACAAGAAACAAAACAAATAGTGATAGAAGATACTTTTTATATACTTTTTCAAACACATTTTATATTGTTATTATGGAATTCGTAGAGACGTAGAATACACTGTCCAATTATTTTACAGGCTATAATTCATTAGCCTAGTGTAAAAATGGATTCTATGAAATTGAAGCGATGCTGTCCGATACATTTTTAATTTTAAAAATAATTCATATTTTTCTCATAAAAATTATTTTTATGTTCTTTTCTACTTTAAGACATTTTTATTCTGGGCTAAGAATTATTATAAAAACAACATAAGAATTTATTCTTACTAGTAACAATAACATGAATAGTTATAACATTACTAATATTAGTAATAATTAAAAAGACCATTTAATTAATGCCATTAAACAGCGAAAGGGAATTGATTTTCACTTACCATTGGTTAATCCGAATTTTGTATTATATTTTTGTAGACATTCCGTCTAATGATAGTATATTGAAGTACGACCATTTTTTATTTGACCTTACATTTTTGTAATATTTTTTTATATTATACACTTGTATAAATAAAACTATTACTAATAGTTGAGAAAATTTTATTTTACATAATACACAATATATTATTACTTATATTACTGATTATAAATCACTGAATAATGAAAAATTAAAAAGTGTATCGAAAATTTAATCTAAACGATCGTTCTGTTCCCGGAATTAACGAGCGCCCTCTTGACGATATAAAACACAATTAAATTAGACTTCAATTGTTTTTCAAAAGGGCTGACGGTTTTGCATTGCACCATTTACTGTGCACAACAACAACAAACGAAGTCATTATTTATACAGATTTGGTACAGATAAATATAATTGTTATGTATTATACGAGTATTTGGTACACGAAATTAATTAAAAACGTATTAATAAACGAGAATACTATGGTATACAGGTCGCAAATTAATGCAGATAAACCCGAATATGAACTTATAAGCTGAAGTAAAAGTAAAATTTTGTTTCGAAGATGCAGCTAATGGTAAGTACTCCTTTTCCTTTACCGGTGTTTCTGAAATGAAGAACCTTTCATCAAAAAAAAAAAAAAAATTAAACAGCTTGATATCATGTTTGTGGCCTTCACAATGGCCTCGACCCATTTCACGCTCTTTGAAATTTGCCACAAGGATACTATTAAACCTAGGTCAATGTTGAGCTAATGTTATTGATTATCAAAAACATGCGTGTCACATTTCACATACCACGCATAGCCAAGTCAATTATGCTTCGACCTTTAAATTTATGTTTATTTTATTATGAGTAAAAGTATGGCTGAAAGTTATTTGTATACAAATAATTTGTAAATTAACGCCTGTGGGTGTAAAATTTTTTGCGAATTTTAAATGATATACTTGAATGCTATTCCTTATTTGTTTATGAAATAATTGAACAAACATCAGGATTTGTATACTTTAATTTGCTTGCATATTCGAATTTGTCATCTATAATATCCAATTCGTATTCAATGGCTTTCATTTTAGATACATATTGAAAATTATAGAATATAGCAATCGTAATTATCTTTTAGTATTGCGAATTTTCACCCCAAGAACTTCAAGGCTACTTATTCCCCCTCGTATTTACATATGTTTAAATATATATATGTGCATCATCGTCTTTATGACACATCCTCGTAACTTACATTTATAAAAAGTAAATAGGCCGTATAAAGTGGTGCTATAAATGTGACGACATACTCTTCTTCACCACCAGATTTAAATTTAATACTTTGCGAAGGAACAGAAGGTTCCTGTCAAAAAACTATAATTCAACTTAATTGTTTCTTTTGCAATCGTAAACTTACATAACTGCAAGTGCAAGTATTTTTTTTTAAATTTTATGTCATCTTAGTGAACTAATCATGAAAATGAGAGAATATTAAGAATTTTGACTAATAAGATAAGTTTAATGACAGGAATTTAATAAGATATAATGAAATACAAAATTTCAATAAAATATTTTTCTTTATTGAGAATAAAAAAATTTTAATTTTTTCTTTAACAATTTTGATTTTATTTTTTTTAATTTAACAATATTTAATTTATCAGTTCATTTCAATATTAATTAGAAAACATTTATTATTTTTAAAGTTAACATTTTTTAACAAATTTGTTTAATCCTTAACGAAAACTTTCAGTACATTTTTATTATTATTATTGTATATAGCCAAATTTTCTTAATATTTTCTATTTCCAATGTATAATTATCATTGATATTATACATATTTTTGGCACTGGAATATCAAAAGTTATTTTAATTACTAATAAAATAACAATAGTAAAAAAAATTCATGTAAATTAAGTACAGTCTAAAAAATTAATAATATAATGTTTATTCGAACAAATAATATTTACAGAATTCATTTTCAATTCAGGAATAACATTCTCGTACTTTTTGTCACTATCATCTATTCATGCTTCTTCTCACTTCATACAAGTTCAAAAAATTGTAAAACAAAAAAATACAAAAACGTGAACTACTAGAATTAAAAATCCCAGTTTTCATAAATACATCTTATGAAAGTAGAAATTATCTACATGATATGGCATTCATAGTTTTTTTCATTTAAAGTTGTACTTATAATAAATATCATAAAAAAACTTAATAATAATCAGAGAAACTTATCGAACTTACATTATAAAAAATAATAACAAAGCGAAATATATGATAATTACTTATTATATAAATGAGCTGATTTCACTCTATTATAAACCAAAATGATGAGCTTCTAACATAAAAGTTCATTTGTCACAATGAGCTTTTAATAAACCCTCAAATATTTTAAATATTTAACAAGTTTGAAATTCATCACAATACAACTTTCATGAAATGTTAATTACATAATATCTTGGCAACTAATGTAAACATTAAGAGGTATCTATGTATGGACTGTAATGTAAATTTATTTATCAAATTAACAACTAGATATTTGATTTAATCAAATAAACCGTAATGATATCATTAATTCTTCCAAACATTATCACGGATCAATGATATTCCGAATTTAAAAAAATTCACTCTAATTAATTTCCTAAGAATTTTCGATTATATAACAAATTTTCATTTGCTAAAAAAGTAGCAGTAAGAATTTATCATATTTAAATTTGTTTCAAAGCGTACAATAGTAAATGTAAATTAAATATTATAATAATATAAAAATTATATAGAAAAAAATAATTATCGCAGATCAAGAAGATTGGCAGTGATACATTAATCCCTTCTATATTTAGCAAGTAATGATAATTTCATTTTATGCTGAATTGAAAGGTAGAGATCATGATGCTCACTAGTAGTATGAGAGTTATCAGTCGGTTCTGGAGTTGGTTCATGTGTTGTTTCTTCATTTGGTCCTGAGTTTGATGCGCAATCTTCCCTTACCGTTACATGATTTATTACATTATCACGTTGTTCTGAAGCAAACTGATGGAATGGTCTTGCTGGAACTTGTATTGTTGTTACTCCCCTAAAAAAAGTTTTATTTTCATTTAAAATAATGTTTTACAAGTAAATAGGGTTTTTCTATCATGAACCAGTTAATGATTATGAAGTTTATATATAGAAATAAATAAATAAAAGAATAAAAATGATTTTACTTCTTCTTCTTGGGGAAAACTACAAGAAATGTTGAGTCATTAGGCATTTAATTTGATCTATTCTTATTTTTATCAGTAGAAAAACCTTCTTAAAATATGGATGTTGTGTAAAGAAGCTGAAGGGTAGCAGATGTTTATCAAGATTAGCATGTACGGAATTGAAAATAATTATAAAATACGACTGGTACGATTCTTCCAGTGACTCATGAACGAGTTTTGTGCGTAATACAAGTAGGGAGGTAAACGCGCAAACTATAACTAGCTTGGGGAATCCCCTGAGTGTGTGGATCGGTTGCAAAAATAGACATGTTCTAAAATCCGGAAACATCGCAGGGGGGCCAAGTTTTGTCGACTATTTTTTGCATTGTTTTTCTTTTTTTTTTTCTTCACAAAAAACTTCACAAACTGATGTTTGCTAAATGAGGGTACTTTTTCATCTAAGTAAAATAAACTTACTCTGGTGTCCAACTGCTCGGGTTTGTTTCTTCATCTTCTGGTACATTATTGGAAACTGTTGATGATGCATCAAGATCATCACGACCAGTATAATTGGGATTCTTTTCAATCCAGGCAGGTGTAACGGTGGGTAATGCTTGTAAGAGACGATTTTGATCCTTGACACTATGATTATTATTTGTAACAGAATAATCTGGAGGACCATCAAAGTAGGGGGGTTGACTATAGCAGTTATCTGAAAATGAGTGTTAATATTGGTCATCAATACTTATGGTTAGAATTCAATTATTTGATTAAATCATTTATTCACATTTGAAAATGAGTACTAACCATTATCTGGAATTGGAGCTGTTGGTATTGAGCTACATTTTTTAAAATATGGCAACAGTTTACTCTTGTTGTAGAAGTTCGTTGCTGCTAAAAAATAATATCTATGATAAATAAACATCTTAAATGCAAATTTGAGGAAATTAGTAGCTTAATACTTACGTCTTCGTAAAAGTAGTGCTACTACTACAATCAAAATAATTATTGCAAGACTTCCAATAATATAAACAACAACCCCAATAATATCGTTAGGTGCATGACCACTATTTTTATTGCAAAATTCCGCTGGTTTTCCAGTTGTGAGCAATTCGGCAGTATACCTATAATAAATATTTTATTAAAAAAATTATAAATATTTGACTGAATTTTCTATTGATAGAGCTATGTAAAATGATAATTTACCCTGGCAAGCACGGTCCACATTGGGATGATGATTGTGCCTGTTTTTCACCTTCTTGTCGGAAATATATACTACATTTTGTGTAATTCACACACTTATAAGAAGTTTTATAACAATACTGATTACTTGAGCAATCTGCATCATTTTCACAGTTTTTATCAACTGCAGCAATCTAAAAAAAAATTAATAAATGATTATGTTGGAAAAGGGAAGATTTATAATAAAAAAAATAAAAAAAGATGCCGGACTTACAGTAACACATTAACTGAAATTTATAAAAAATTGGAAATTTCCCAAAATGAAGAATACTATATAAAATAATAATAAATTATTATTATCATGATTATTACTAATTATGATTAAATAATGAATATTTAATGAATTATCATGATACTAAAATTTAAATATTAGTATTTAAAGAATGTTGGGAGATAATTATTTTAGAGAAATTTTATATACAAAATTGATCAAAATACTGAAGTTTTATTATCATGTGGCATCTTTGGATAAAAAATGATGAAACTTACCGGGTTAATAGATCCAATAAAGTATAAAATAACCATCATCAGAGCCTGTAACAAAGAAAAAAATTGTTTTACTGGTTTATATAATGAAAAATAGTTAAACAGTTAAAAGTATTATTATTAAAATTAATAAATAGTTTGGAATAAAATACATGATTGTGAGATATGATGAAGACTTGTTTTAGATATTTTTAAAAAATAGAAGAAGATTGTGGTGACGATTAAGTTATTCTTTGAAAATTGCATAATCGAAGATTCGGTTTTCCCAAGAGTTCACTGAACTCTTCAGGAGAGGTCTAAGTTATGACATGGTTACAGCTTTCATGTGTATTCTCGTGATATTTAGTACCATGGTACACATTCTCCATCGATGATCATGAGTCAAGATTACGCAGGAGGAACAAAGAGAAGACAAAAATTGGGTGTGCATGACAGAAAGGAGTAAAATAAAAAATACACGCGTATTAATTTGACGGTAATAGAGATCTTCTATGTTTAGATCAGAAGTTATTTACATATAATTACAACAATAATGTAAATGTAATGATGCATTTATTCGAATGCTATTTATCTTCAATAAAAAATTGCAACAAGTTATTTTTAAAATGTTCAAAAAATAGAAGTACAAAAAAAAAATTCGATTTTATTTAGAATGGTAAGAAATATTCGCATTTAAATAGCATAGTTACTAAAAAATGAAGTGATTAATTAATCTATTTATTTATGATAGAAAGAATAGTATCTTTTTCACACCGCAGCTGTTTCTAAGTCATAATGCGTGTAATAAGAACAAACCGCAGCTATTTAACGGGATGTGCATAAATACACATACTTTTGAGCACGTTTAAATGCGCAATAACTTACTAAATTATAAGCTTCCCGTCATTTTTTATCGAATTATCGCATGAGTGAAGAAATGTTTTCAATACTGTTGTAATTAAAAAATGGTTTTAAATATTAATTTTGAATATTAATTTTAAATCAATACAATCACAATAAAAAAAATAATACTAAGTAAAAATTAGTTTAAAAAATTTTATAAAATGTTATTCTTTTTATTTTGCAAAATAAACAAGTCGGTGTCTGTCTGTCTGTGTGTGTGTGTGTGTAAAGTTCTCTAATTACGTTAGGGATGATTCATAGGTCTACGACAAAAACGATAATTCTTCAAGTTTGAAGTAAGCTTCGAAAATAAATTGCGAAATCATAATAATAAAATCACCTTAATATAAAATTCAATTTCTATCTCACAAGAATATTTTAGTAGTTTTTGTTTAATTAGAATAATGATTTTATTTTTTCTCTTTAAATTGACAGAAAATTTATGATCATATTGAAATTTTTGTGGAGTCATGAAAAGAGTCTAAATAATCTAGAATAAAATGTGCTAATGATCTTTTGAACTTTCCAAGGTTGTATATAATTTCCAATGTATGATTTCTCGGGATATATAATTTCAAATGTTGCGGTCGAAGATGAGAAAAATGAAAGAATAATTTATGAGCCCTACATGTTTCGTTCTAAAAGATATATTACAAAAAGTCAATGGCTACATTTTTTAGACATGAGTAATTTCGATTGGATATATGTATTTGTAAGAGAACTGAATTTGCTGAAATTACTCAATACTTGTTATTCTAAGAAAGATCCTTCAATTTTCAACACTTATGCTGTGGTAACTGACCATTTAGTACATGTCGAGTGTCTTTCTCATTTAACAACCATCATCCTTATCTGATAAATATGACTCAGAATGTCTTTCATTAGTTAACGATATACTTAAAGTCGTCTTAAAAAATTTAAAAACTAATTAAACTGCTTTTAAATTTGAATCATACTTTTCTAGACCGGAAATAACATCCTTAGTAGCTGTCTAGTAGCTTGGGTACATCAGTTAAACGTTTGTAGCTGTTTAGTCTTCTCTCTAGCTATGCGCCGGTGAAGGACAACTATTAGCATGTCATCAATTAATAGCGATACTGGTTTTCGAATATCCTTAGAAATTAATCCTGACGTTTATAAATTAAAAGGAAACAAAACTATTTAATGAACAATTTTTTATTTCAATTATTTCGGGAATTGTTTCGACTCCTATTAAAAATCAATTTAGAAAATGATCTCTGCGAAATGATTTTTAATAAATAACTTAGGATTGATTCTCGAAAATTAAGATTCCTAGAAAATCGCGTAAAGGTGGAGATAACTTTGTTCACAGTGTCAAAATTATCGCATAATAAAGATCTTTAAAAAATTGGTCATTGAAATTGTATGAGAGACAACTCTTAAATAAATTCGATTTTATATTACTTTACCACAAATAAGATTCTATGAATTTTATATTGTTATTATATGACTAAAATGATAATAATCAGATCGACTTCATATATCTATTATGTGTACCATCCGACATTTCAATTTTATTTTTTTTCCTTTTATTTTACTCCAAATGCCGCCTAGTTCAACTCTAATCCTTTTTCTATATTCTATATTCCTCCCTGCTTTTTATTCTTTTTTACGGTACGATGACGGTGCGACTGTTCATGTCTATTTCCCGGAATCGAAAGGCTTTCATGTTTCATGTTGTTTACTGCATATCAGAAACCCTAAGACTCTTAATCATTTTATATAATAATTATTGAAAATAAAAAAAAAATTATCTCTCTTATTTTTCTTAATTTTTGAAGCTCTTTTTAAGCGAATAAATTCATTTTCATTAATTAATTCTGTATTTAGTTTTATTATTATTTCAAAATAAAGCTCTAGAAGATTCCGAGAAGCTCCAAAGTCGGCACAGAGAAATAAAAGTCATGGAAAATTATTTTAATTTAAATAAATAAATAATAATTAATACAATATAATATTAAATTTATTACTATATAATTTTGTTGTTTTAAATAAAATATTTTTTTAAGAAAAAAAATTTTATTTGAATAACTCAAAATGGCGTCGAAATGAATCCACTTGTTGCGTCAGAAAGTATCATGCTATGCGCGAGAGCAGTAAATATGAAAGTCACCCTCCGATACAGTGAAGAATGTATCAAAAAATATGGCTTATGAAATACAATTATGCGAAATAATGCATTTCTTTACTCAAAGAAATCATAAAAAAGTATGTTAATAATAGAATAATAGGCTATAAATTAAATATTTATATATTGATTTTATGGAGTGTGAGATTTATAACAAAGAAAACTAGACATTTTTCGATGAATATATCATCAAATTAAATCCTAGATACAAAAAATAATAAATATTATTTGATTTAACTGATGATGCAATTAATAATGATAACAGTAGTTGTGATAGAGTATTATAAATAATTATCTTTGATCAAAAGCCGAATTGACACTTGCGAAAAGATTTTAAGAACCTTGTAAATCTCCAGTGATGACTAATCGTTCGCGTGTGATAGTATTTCTCCTTCTGAACAACACTGATAATAATTATGTGATTATTAAAGACGTAATTTCACACATGTTTGTTATTAACCCTTTTTCTACTATTAATTCAAAGAAAAGCCAAAAAAAGTCCTTCAATAAACATTTAAAAAAATCTTTTTAAACTTAACTCAAATATCACTTGAATGAAATCAGAATTTCATTTACTAAATTCCAAATTAATTATAATTTTTATAAATAAATGAAATTTAATTGCTATTTAGTTCAAATCCTACTGAGTAGATCTACTAACCTTGATCTCATTTTCACAACAAATAAGGATTTAATTGCGAATAACACAATTATTAAACCTTCACAAATAGACGCGAAAATAAATAAAATACTTTGAATTAAATTACCAATACAGATGGCGATTTAAAATATGAGAGTAATTTTTTAAATTAATTTATGAAGTAGTAAATAATATTTACTCACCAAAATATCTCTTGTAGACATTCGTCTACGACAAGGATACATCTTTGATTAATCGATAGAGCACCTAACAAAAATGCCGGACATTAACTAAATAAAGGATGTATTTTTGATCATCCGGTGGGTTGGATCTCATTTGCGTATGTCACTAATTTGAATAATTGCACCTGTTGACAAGTAGATTCACTTGACTTTTCGCAAGCAAGGGATAAACTAAACTGACCAGTCGCGCGATTCAACGTGCACTAAACGTGTTCAGACAAGTTTGCCTCAGCGTTTCCCTGAGGTAGTGGGAGGGATTGGATACATACATGGATCATTAGGTAGATGGGCCCCACTTTCTTTCAGCTTATTCTTCAACGTGCACAGAATATATTCCTTAGAATGTCTTTAGTATACACAAGTTTAATTCTTAGTGTTTCTGTCATGTTTGCATTTCTAGATTTGTCATTAATTTATAGAAATTTAATTATTTATTTATACTTAAGTGTGATTGTATATCTTGTTGATCAAACCTAGTTAATGAGTAATGTGTGAATTTAAGGAGTCATTGGTTAAATTGATTGTTATAGTTCTAATAATTTTGGAGTATTGAATTAAAATCATCAAATTATTTTGTTTTAGTTTATTCAAAAACCAAAAATACATCAGTAATATTTAATAGTTGTATTGATGTATACATCATTGAGTCATCATTGAGTTGTACTCCAATAGTAATAAAAAAAATTTACACGTTTGGGCGAAAGCTTGATGACAGATCAGTTCAGTCGTGATTGAGTTGAAGGTTCGTCCCTGAGAATGACTCACATTTACAGGTCGTTCAACGGAGATTCATCTGTCTCCAAGGTACGATACAGGCATTGCAACGTACCAATTTCATACACATATTAGTTGTCATTTTCTATCATCCTAGATGTTATACTGATTTTCCTCTTTTGACCTTGAGACGTGTTACTGTTCAATATTGGCCTTCGTTATAATTTCACCATTTAGATTTATTCTTTTTACTACATTATTCTTCTCTTTTAGAGATGATCAATCATTTTCATAATTATTAAATTTATACTCAAATTTTTTTACATTAATTATTAAAAATATTTCTATAGCAAAAATTTACTCCAAATTATTTTGATGAGTTTATTACAATATTTCACAAAAAACGATTTTGTGTTCGAGTTATGGTAGGTAATAAATATCAGAGAAAATGATTCTTTCCGGTCTATTAAGGATACTATTAATGGATAATTTACATATGAAAATTATAACTTAATATTATCGATATACAAGATATATCCATGGAAGAAATGAATTTTGATCGAATCCAAAGTTTTATCAATTCCTCCATTTACATATTTTAATATTTCTTTATCATATTGTTCAAATATTATGTCTAAAAGAATAATATTTTTTAAATTTAATTAAACAAACAATTTTTTTGTTCTAATAATCCGTTTCTTATCGACAAATTTTGAACATATAAAATTACATAAAAATAGTCATTTTGTTTACATAAAGTTACTTTGAAGTATTCTTTTTGTTGACTCTCGCGTGACGCAATGACTAATGAAGATGAAAGTTAGGAGCAATATAACATGATATATGAGTGTATACATGACCTTACTCCTGCTAAACCAGATAGCGATTCTGTTGATACATTAAATGAATTAGGATATTACTTTTGACTTGTAAATTATCGTATCACATCTAGTAATTGAATATAACAATAGAATTTTAGTAGCTTGTATCTTTCTTATACTTTTAATCTTTGGCTAATAACATTATTAATAATATAATTCTCTTCATAACGAATATTAACACTAACTAATTACCATTTATCATATGAAATTTTCATTTACTCCTTTATTATTTATCAAATTGAAAAATTAGAATAAAAATAATTTATCTTTGTTATCAATTAATTTATTGATAATAATTAATTGATAATTTAGAAAGAAAAATGATATTCTTATTAGATGATATTAGAAGTTAAACAATGAATCATTGTTACTCCAATTTCAGTTTTTATATTTATACCAGTACTATTGATATCACAATTGTATGCTATTAATATCATAATTGTTCCATCATATAATTTTCTGAAGATGTAATGTAATGTTTTGCAAACTTCATCTTTATTATCAATATATGATACAAGTCGGGTGTTTATCGTAATTTTCTGGCTTATCGGTGCACCCGGGTTTTCAGCTTATCTATAATGCCAGTCGACAAAACTTCTTGCAATGTTGCAATAAATTCGTCCGTTATGCATAATAAACAATATATCATACTAATTATATCATTTGTCAAGTTATTAAGCTCATTTTATATTACTGCAATGATTTAAAAAATTATTCCAATAATTTTATTTATATATCCATTCTAAGAAAGTTCCAAGAACGTCAATATTGTCGTGGCCATTTAAAATTATTTGCAAATACAAAAAATTTCTGGATCAACCTTGACCTTCAACTGTCAAAATGCCATGCGTTTAATTAAGAATGTTTCCGCGATTAAATTACATTTGGAGATGATGAAATATGTGCAGACCATATGAAAGGATACGTTTCGCATCTACACCGAACTTCTGCGCAGTAAGATTTGGAAAATGTTGACAAAGTATTACAAATAAGTGACAATTGGCTGGAAAAGTGGAGAATACAAAATTGGAAAATTTAAATAATTATCTCAACTTAACATCCAAGAAGGTAAGTTTAATTTTTAAATAAATTTAATTTTTACTTTCAGATATTTACTGTCATAGATATTTGCTGACTCAACATAACCTTAAACTGATAAACACTCTAAATATAAATAAATACTACGGATTCAACATTTTTATGAAACTTTTTTATTTTATTAAAATTTATCTATAATATTTCGTAACTTCATAACTTTATTAAATATCATCATATTATTTGTCAATTAAACAATTATTAACGTCTTTTTACTTAGAATTTCAGCTTCATTAGCAATAAAAAAAGTGATAAACATGTGAAATTTTAACGAATACCGGCTTTTCTACGTCAACGTTTCAATAAACGAGTCAATTACATTTAATTATAAGCCGGGACAGTTTTTTTATTCATCAGGTACACCAAAAAAATGAAAAATGAAGATGAGTCATGTCATTATATAAAGATTTACCGGGATGATTATACTTGTTATCTAACTAAATAGTTCTGATAACAGTTTGAAGTGATTGCGCCAGTTGCAGAAGATTAGTAGAAAAAATATTTTGCTCTTAGATACCACATTTCATATTATGTCGAGGCAGTAAGCGTTTGATATCTATTTCAGTCTCTCTAGTTTATTGATTACAAGTAATTCTAGAGTATATTTATGCAGTTGCAAATACGGTGTATTATTAATCAATTAACAAAATTTTATGGTAATATTGAGTAAAACGATTTTAGAAATGTTCAGTCAGAAACATAGAAGAGGAGGATCTTGGAGTCCATCATCAGATGTTGACGATGAGTTTGATGAGATGAATGACATCTATGGTCAAACACCTCCCAGGACCAGATATAATCGTCGACAACGTGAACGGAAGCAGAAAATGATGTCAATAGGGTGAGTTGATTGATCATTTTTTAATGTAATTGATTAGTTTCATTATTTAAATAGTTGTTGGAATAAAAATGTCATGGGTGAAATCTTCCAGAGGTGATAGCAAGTATGTGTCACCAAAAGAGACTTATAGCAAGTCCAGTAAGCCAACTTTATGTCGACGAAATACTCTAGACACCATTATTTTCAATAAGATGTGTGATCAAGCGGACAAAGATCAGGAAAAAGAAAATGCTGAAGAAGTAGCGAAAGAAAATAGTAGAAAATGCAAGAGAAGTTTAAAAATGACTCGTAACAGTGAGAGAGATTTAAAATTAGACATAGACACTGCCAATCAGTGTTCTCGGACAACAGAGCATGCTACTACTACGTGCAGCAACATGAAGGTTTTATGCGGTGTGGTATGTTTTTTTTTTATTTTAACTTATCTTATTTCATCTTAACACTTTTTTCATACTTGTCATTCCAAGTTGAAATAATGATTAGTGACTTTTATTCAATACTTGCAGATAGAGACTCGAAATAGATTTCGTTGCCTTCAATCCAAGCCAGTAGATGTGTGCAAAAAAAAGCAAGAGTCAACTGAAGAAAACGAGTCTACAGTTAATAATGATGAAATCCAATCTAAAAACTTAAAAGAACGTCAGATTTTTCATGATACTTTTTCCTACCTGATACGACTTGTAAATTAAATTATTTCATTCATTAGTAACCCATTTCTTATGACAGTTGATTGTTTAAAAACTACTTCACTTTCTAGGGTAGCGGAGACTGGGATAAAAATTGTCGACGTCAAATGAGCAGTGAAGAAACAAGATGGCAAAGTGAATTAAAAGACTTAATTTGGTTGGAACTTCAAGCATTTCATGCTGATAGAAGTCTTTTTGCTCAAGATGAATATTTATGTAAACAGAGAGAATCTATTGGATCATTATTGACAGAAATTATAAATTACAGGTAACAAACTTTTTTCGATCTTTGATAATACTCAATCTTCCTTCAATCTGGAAAAGAAAATGTCTTCAACTGATATAAATTGTTTTTGTTACTAATCTTATCTGAGTAATATTAAAATAACTTTCAGCTAATTACCAAATGTTTATGAATATTGTTTATTTTACTTATTGATTCAACTCTATTTCTAATTTAATTAACTGCTATTCTTAAAATTCGCATTCACACGACTTCAAATGAAAAAGATAAAGCGATCTCTTCTCAGAAATATTTATTGAATTTTCAAGCCTTTGAAATAATCAAAATTAACCAATTTTCTAGAAATGCGAATTGAAATCCCTTCGACACATGTCGGAAGAGGTTACATTCTCTTGAAAAAATTATAAAAATCTATATCTCTAATGTACAAGAAAATTCAATTATCCAAGAAATATTTTTGGCTTCAGAAAAATGATTTATTTAATTAATTTTATAGATTTTTATGAAACATATTAATACTTACTATTTTGCAGATAATTCCTTTTATTTGTTTTATATTAATGCTTTATCTATTTCTAATACTGTGAAATAATACTTTAAAAATGATCATATCATATTAAAAAATTTTTTAAAATTATACATTATAAACAGTATAGGTAAAATAACGGATGGTAATATGGTGCAATACATTTTATGATAGTTAATGATAAGAAATAAATTTCACACGTCTATTAGAATATTTTTATATTCCTATATCAATCAAAATCAAACAGATTTATCAACTCTTTATCATAATCGCCTAAGATATCTTATTTATAACTTTTTAATGTTATTACCATCATTACTGCAGGTGAGATTATTATATATAAAAATGTTATCTATTTATTATGAATAAATACTTAACTATTTGTGATTTTATATTTTACAAATGTTTTTTATCATTTGTAGGTATGATCCAAAATCTAGTCTGATTGATCTTAGTTCAGCAACATCAAGTTCAAGTGACAGCGGTTTTGAGGGTTCACTGACCCCTTCAATATTTCAAGAATCAGAACTTTATATTGAAAGTACTGAAGTTCCAGGAACATTCTATCTTTGTCCAGGGTGTTTATCTATGCATTGTCGTTCATGTTTACATTCACAAATGGCAGCCTTGAAGCAAGTGGAAGATCTTCTGAATCGTTTGGAAACAGCTGAAGCTCTTTTTCCATCATCACACGCCTTTGGATTACATTATCCTGAATATAAAAGTCAGGAGTTTATTGATAGAGTCAAAGCCATGTGTTTGTGGTACAATATGACTCGACATCACAGATTAAAGGTTCAAATTCTCGGAAAATTATTGATGCTTCTTGATAATAATGAGAGAAATTATTCCGATTTAATGAAGAAATCATTTGAATCGAAATTGTTTGTTAAATTTGATATTGCTTTATATGAAAATGTTGATGATTTATCCAAATCAAATCAAAAAGGTGATTCATCTTGTGATCCTAAACAATCTGATACGTATTCCAAGTCTGCACTTGCTCTCTTTAATCATAATAGACTTAATCAGTTAGATTTTTATCTGATGGAATTTGACCGACAGTCATACCGAAAATATATCGAAGAAGTATTGAAAACTCGTGGATTGAGCAAGAGCTTAAATTTTTTAGAGAGACTGCATACATATGTACTAAGAAAAGCTAATATTGCATTAACTAAATATGAGAATAGTGAGATGATGAATGAAGAATATGAAGGAGATAAAGAATTAAAACGTTATGGAATGTGGAGCGCTGAATCTAAAGCATTAAACCTTCCATCTTATGCATCAGCATTTATATTCTTGTCTCGAGTACCTTTAGATGTGGTTCATGAATTCCTTCGAATGCGATTGGAGCAGAAACCAGAACAACCAGGTCCTTTATCTATCAGACAATTGATGCGGGAAATGAGAGAGGGTTTACGGATCGCTTGTATTTATCGTAATCGATTTATTGCCCACTCAAAAACTGCTCTAGCATGGGGGCATTCAGCTTTAGATTGTGATAACATTGATGACTTTGATGAAAGTCTCAAATCAGTATTCCAAATCTACTTAAATTATTTAAAACAGTGGATCGAGATGATGCAAGATAATAATTATCACAAGTTATTGATTGATGATGAATGGGTTTTTGTTACAAGCATTGTTGAAAATATTAATCAAGGCTATAATATAGGTGGTATAGAATTCTGTGATATCAATCGCTTGATGATTGAACAAATTCAAGATTTTTTAAATAGTCGTCCTAGAGAAATTATTGAATCCATGGAAATGATTGGTGATGATGATTCAACAACTAAATTCCAGTTGATGTCATTAGGTCGAGAATGGCAATGTATGTTTGTAGAAGCGAGAGAAAGAATTTTGAAGACTTTAAACATGGCTAGAACATTGCGAAGGGATACTGAAAAATGGTGTAAATCCGATGAACTAGTGAATGCGATCGAAAATTTAAAAAAATCAATTTATGGTCTTAAGGATACAATTGTCGATGCTATTGAAAAGTTTCAAATTCAAGTCGATGATGCTGAAGAGCCAAAAAATGAAAATGATCGATTGGCTTACAGAATCCGAGTAAAAGAAATTTTACACCAAGCTTATAGGATGGGTTTTGACAGTCATAAAGAAGTATTTAAAATATTTGGTGAAGATGAAAGAAAATGTCTAGCAAGAGATCTAGTGAATTTTGCAATGCTTTGGATGAAATTTGTAAAAACCAGATGTGAAAGAGGACGTGGACTAAGGCCACGATGGGCAAACCATGGATTAGAGTATCTTACATTTGTTTGTGATCCTGCTAACACACAATTTTTAACTGATGAAGAGTTTGAAGTGTTCAAAACAAAAACAGATCGGTGTATTAATCATATTATTGGTAGTTGTAAATTGGCTGATTCTAATAACTTAGATAAAGACACATTAAAGAAACTACCAATCTCTCGAGCACCATCTCCAGCTCATCATCAAAAAAGCATTTCAATTTCTAAATCTAAGGATAATTTAAAAGGAACACCATCTCCAAGCAACGAAAAAGAAGTGATAAATTTAACCATACCAGAGCCAAACTATGCTCGGCACCAGAGACTTATTGTAGCTTTAAGAAATTTAGAGAACAAATTAGATGATAAGAGAAGATCAGCAGAACTGATAGGCCGTATAACTGACCGTAAATCCGTTGATAATGTTAAGGTAAAGGTTAGACGAGTTACGTTTACTTGGCAAAGAGGCATTAAAATTGGTCAAGGGCGTTTTGGCAAAGTTTATACAGTAGTTAACAATCAAACTGGAGAATTGTTAGCGATGAAAGAAGTGCCACTGCAACCGGGTGACAATTGGGCTATAAGAAGAGTAGCAGAAGAACTTCAAATTTTTGAAGGAATCATTCATCAGCATTTAGTTCGATATTATGGTATTGAAATACACCATGAAGAGATGCTGATTTTTATGGAATTCTGTGCTGAAGGAACTTTAGAAAGTTTAGTAGCAGCAAGTGGTCAAGGATTACCAGAAATCCTCATCAGAAAATATGCACATCAGTTGTTATCAGCTATTTTTACTCTTCATTCTCATGGTGTTGTTCACAGAGACATTAAGTCTGCAAATATATTCCTAACAGATCAAGGGAATTGTCTAAAACTTGGTGATTTTGGGTCTGCTGTGCAAATTAAAGCTCATACTACAATGCCTGGTGAGTTGAAAGGCTTTGTAGGAACACAAGCGTACATGGCACCAGAAGTTTTCATGAAAACCGAAACAGGTGGACATGGAAGAGCTGCTGATATTTGGTCTCTTGGCTGTTGTGTTATTGAAATGGCTAGTGGCAAAAGACCTTGGGCTGAATTTGACTCTAATTATCAGATTATGTTCAAAGTTGGAATGGGTGAGAGCCCCATGCCACCTAAAACTTTGTGCAAAGAAGGAGTTGATTTAATTACAAAGTGCCTGCAACATGACCCGAAAAAACGACCCACTGCTAGAACGCTATTGTCTCACCCTTTTGCACGCAATTATGACGATGTTAATGCTGATCTTATAACTAAAATATCATCATAGATGTTAGATTAAAGTCAATTATATAGAATATTATTTTTGTTAGTAAAAAGAATATTTATTGTAAATATTGTATTATATTTTAAACAAGTTATGGGCATTGAAGAGTTTATTAGAAACTTGGAAGGTTTTGATAGTTAAATTATTTTTTCAAAGTATTCTATATTTTTATTTCAATATAAAAAATATATTTACTTTATATGACGTTTTTGGATTTATTTATAATAACAACAACTATTGATTATTTATATATTTATTTATTTTTTTTCTGTTTTTTTTTTTGGGTTCATAACATATCTATGGCATTAGACACTCTAAGCCTTAATATTGCAACGATTTTACACATTTTTTACATACATTTCTATATATATATTTTTGGAGTCAAGGAACTGATTTTTCAAATCAATTAAAGATTGACTATTAGGATGAATTGATATGTTTATGATATTCTCAGCTGCAGTAAAAGCAATCACATTTTATTCCTAACGTTAAATATCTTTCATTTTTCAACTTATAACTACATTTAGAATTAACACTGCATCAAGTACAGAAGATATGTTCCTTTTCAACAATTATATTTTATAATACATTATTATTTTTCAACAAAAACTAATTATATTTTTACTCTTGCAACAAAATATACACAGGACTTTTATATTTTCGAATTCTTTAGATATTAAACATATTCTTGCATATTATTTTTTTATATTCTTTCAACAACTTATAATTATATAAAACTTTTTAAATTATATTAACAATAAATAAATAAATATATTTATAAAAATTAATATTTTATAACAAAAATTCATTTGAATTGAGATCAATATTTAGATTGCCACAATTATGAAAATAGAGTAGTGATTTTATATTTAACAGATTCGTTTTTTTTTCGATGTGAAAGAAGTGGATGACAAATTTACAAAATGGGAGTTTGAGTGGTTAAACAGGTTGGAGATATTTGTTTTAGATTAAGTAGCAGGCAAATACTTATTCAGTAATTAAAGAGTTTAACTATGATGATAATTGAGAATTTTTGTTCAGCCAGTCATAGTTGATTAAATAGACATTCAAAGAACTTTTATATCAGATATTGATCTTTTTTTCGATATGAATGAAGAATAATTGGCGCAAATTTCTTTCATTTCTTAGAAAATTTTTTAATTATATTGGCAGTACTAAAGCTTCATACTTGAAAAACATAAAAAGTTGATTAGCGGGGAGAATTCTTATCAAACTAATTATTGACTAGAGAGTTGGGGCTATCAAATTGGCATTAATTCAATTACCCGAAAATGTAAAAGTCCTATTGTCATAACAGCAATTATAGCGAACAATATTATATAGTAATTTATAAATAATTTATCTTTTATATATATATATCTCTTTTTTTTTGTTACTTTCGTGCTTGCATCAGAGATATTTGCAATAAATTTAATTCAACTATGAAACATTCTTTATATTATATTTGTGACTTTAGATAGATATGTTTATAGATCTTGTCAATAATTCCATCACAGCAGTTTTATACAAGTGACTGAGTATTTAGAACAATAAATCTCTAAATAGATGATTTAATTATTGAAATATGAGTAGCTATATGACTTCTTGTACGCGAGTTTCTCTTTTTATCCAACAAATCTGAGAAATCTCTGTTTTTATCGCTAAAAATTGGACAAGAGTATACTGTTGTGGGCGCCAATATTTAGGATTGGCAAATTTTTAGATAGACCTGGCAAAAATATTTCTTATCAAAATGATACTTTTCTATTATTTATATAATTAATTTCATTATCAAAAGTAATATTAATTTTTTTCTCATAAAACAAGTATTGTTTTTGTAAAAATATTGATGATTTTAGCTTGTAAGAAAAGTATAAATATTTGTAAATAATTTAGATAATGGTTAGAAATGTTTTTACCAGGAGAAATTGTAGATACAAAGCCTCTACGTGATTTACTTCCTACTATTGTAGTTATTTTTCAGCATTTATGTTATATAGAATTTTTAAATGAGTTCTAAACAAGTTTTTATATTCAAATTCATCGAGATAACGCAATTCCTACTATGATATGTTACATTTCACATCAGTACTTTGGTTTTTTTTTACCATACAAGATAAATTCTATTCATATACTTCAGTTTTAGGTACTTTATATATACTTTCATTGATATGTTTCTTTTTCTAAACAACAATAAACTTCTTAAACACTTCGATCAAGTTATCATCATGATCGCAAATAACAAATTGACCTTTGTATATTTTCTAATTAGCACTAAAATTATCGTGTACTTTGTGCATTCTTTAACATTTCTGCCATATCTCTTAAACTAGATTCTACGGTTTGTGCAAATTTTCTTGCACTGGTTCGTCCATCACTGTGGAATGCCGAAATGGAAAAGATTATTGCATTTTTTCTCACATTGTAACAACATCCATAACCGTCTGGTACAACTGGCCCATATCCAATGATGGCGTCATTCTTTGTTGTCACCTGAAACAATGAAGGCGATAAAATACAAGAACAGTCGGAAGTTTGGCAGTTGAAGTATCAGTTTCCTGGGGTTCAAAGCGTAGAAGATTATTTCCGATTGTCTTTGTTACTGAAATCATTTGTTCTAGAATCAAATCAACTTCTAGAGTAGGGACGAAAAATCTCCCTTTTAATTTTAAGCGTAATTATACGTTTCTTTGTGTATCAACTATTTATAATTTCCGTAGTGTTAATTGTTTTTTATTACGTATTCTTATTGCCTTCTATTGTGTCGGTTTTGTGGAGAGTAAAAAAATAGTTTCTACAATAGAATATTTTTCTTAGAAACTTATAAGTTATATTTTATTTTTTTCAAGTGATATTATTGAAAAATATTTCAATATTTTGAAGCATTCATTTCTATCAATTATTTTCATTGAAATCTAAATTTTGCAAAAATAGAAGAGCTTTTTTCAATTTTTTATCAACTAGTTGAATACAATTTAGGAATATTTTATTGTATAAAAAGCTTTTTGTCTACCTGGGATGTTGAAAGAGAAAAATGATGAACAATTTGGAAAGCTTCATCATTGAAAAGCTCTGGCATTCCTTCTCCCATTTCTTTAGCAGCATATCTCAATCCTATTAAATGATTGTCAATACCATAACCATTGATATTATCAGCTATTTCGTTAGTTTGTCGTTGTACTGCCAGGTCGAAAAACTCCTTAATTTGTTGTCCCTATAATTAGTAAATAAAAATATTTTATTCCTCTTATTTGTTCATTTTTTTAACTTCTGTTAGTAAATAAGGAAATATGGTAAGAAGATCAAGGGAATAACATAAAATAACAGATATGTAGTAGAAAAACAACTTGAGACTTGGACTTATCTTGAGACCTTCGGAAAACAAACTAAGGTCTACTTCAACTACTTTTTCTTTTTCTTCTTGTTTATATTATTTCCCCTTGTAACAATCTTTAAGAACACGTTAAATACTTGATTCAAGGGTAGACTTTAATTGATTGCTATTTTCTCAGTTACTTTTCTTCCAGATCTTCTTTTATCCATATTTGTTTGAATTATTTACACATGTATAAAATTACAAAGTTAAATATTTGTTTAGAGCTTTTTTAATTAATATATCTCAATTTGAAAGTTTATTTATTATTAAAAATACGCAACTTGTTTCTACTTTAAATAGAGATTAGATCAATTGAAATTGACCTTTTGTTTATCACTAATGAGACGAAAATTTATTTTTCTAAAGGACAATTTTTCTGTAATAAAGAATTAATTATTTTTTATTCTTGAAATAATACTTAATATCAACCATTAAAAGTTTATTTCTGAACACGTAGTCATGCTAGATCTTAATTAGACTCAATTTGAATATCTCTATTAAATTATATTTACATATTGATTTCAAGATATTTTTAATATTAATGATCTTTTAATTATGTCATAATTCATAAAAAATTAACTATAAAGACGTAAGAAAATAATTAAAAAATTCTAAAGTGTTCTATAAACAGAAATAAAAAAAAAAAATAAGTAAAGACAAATGAAAAACATTCAAGGAATTTTGCAGTTACACTGTAAATGGTGAACTGTACTCTTTTGGTGCCTTCCTCTTGCGTATCATTTTGTAGCTCAGGATCACCTTGACACATAGCCTTGACCCATGCCAGAGTCTCGGGGCTTGCAGCTCGGATAACGTCAACACGACCTGCTGCGAAGCGTCGTATTGATGCACTTTCATATGTTGCTACTAGATGTCCATGCAATCTTGAAATGGTACATTACAATTTACATCAGGTATCATAATTGTTATATCATAATTTAATGGACTACAGTTATTGGTCATCCAACAATCATTGATACTTCTATTTGCCGAGAAATTAGTGTCAATTAACGTAAATGAGTAGTAATTATTATCATTAGAATGTCAATTAATGAATAATTTCTAGTATTACTACTTATCATCGTGATAAAGCTACTGATTTTTTTTTAAATTAAAAAGTAGTATACGAATATTTGAAATTTAAGAATTTATGAATCTGAAGTTTCAATCGTTTGGAGCAACGATAACGAATAGAAATAAAAACGGAGTTGGAAATAGAAATTCAGAAAAGTTATTACTAACAGCTTTAGAGTTATTTTTTCTGTTTTTAGGTATTTTCTAAATCACTGACTGGAATTTAAGTTCAATCTATTAAACTTTAAACTACCTTCAATCAATTGATTGCAATTATTGAATTTTTCTAAATTTTGTTTTGAACACAAATACACTAATTGGCTAATTCTTTCAATACTCTAAGGCTATAGTTGATGGCCCACCTCAATTTCAAACTTGAACTCTTTTTTTTCCTGTTTGCTATTATTTTTTCAAACAATTGAAACTTCAAATACTTTAAAATTTACCTGAAGTATGTTAACTGCAGGGCAAGTTGAATATAGGCATCAGGGCTGATTTTGCAAGCTTTGATGAATTCTTTAGAATAATCATCAAACCATAAAACACATAGGTCAAGATCCTCCACTAACCTTTAGAAAAAATAATGAAATTAAACAAATAATTGAAAACCTGGTAATCTTATGACCCTATTTACAGAGTATTATTTTCATTAAACAAAAAATTGTGAGTGACATACGAATCAAATGATGCAATGGCCTCGCGGATATCATTCAAACTCCTGTCGGACAGCTTCCATTCAAGTTTCTCAGGTGATGGAAGATGCGAAGGTACTAAGTTCTCTTCAAGAGGTTGCATTGCATCAACATTATCTGTTAAAGTTTCAAAAGCATTGGAAATTGCTAGTGCTTCACCGGTTGAGTGTTCGTAAACCATGCCCCACATTCCATCCTTAATCACAAGAATTATTTATAATGTTATTATTGAGACAATAATAAAAAAAACAATCAACAATAGCTAATAATAAAAAGAAAAGCTTTAAATAAAATTGATTATTATGAACCTTTCCAAGTATGACATTCAAAGTTTTGTCGAACCAACGATTTGCACCATGATATCTTGATCCACCACCATGCAAACAATGGTGTAAAACATTAGCATAGTCTCGATCATTGATCCAACAGTCGTTCTTCTTATAAGACTCATTGAAAGTCACGGGTAAAACATCTTCATCAATGCAAACAATGCATAAGCAACGTTCCAGTAACTCTAGATTATGCCGGTTCTGCTCATCTAGTTGGTTTCAACAGATAACAAAAATTTTCATTTAGATTTGACAGATTTGAATAAACATTAAGCTTTTAATGAATAAATTTGAAACATTGAGATCACACTTTCCAATTACTTGATAAATAATTTAAAATGAAACTAAAGAAGAGAGTGAAATAAGTTGAGAAGTGAAGAAATTAAAAATAATAGAGTTGACTAATGACTAAGATCAGCTTCTCTATCTTCTTAAATATCTGAATAATGAATATCTGAACCAAATAAATATTTTTATATAAAAATATGTACTATTAAAATTCATATTTATCCACTAGATAGCAAAAAAGAATATTTTAAGGTGTAAAAAAAAATTTTGAAGTTTTAAAAAGTAAATAGTTCAATTTGAAATAATTAAAATTTATGTAATTTAATAGAATTAAGTTATTAAAGCAGGTATTATGAAATAGATGAATAGAAAAAGTAACTTTAAAAATTTTTAACATGCCTTTTAAAATTTAATTTCTATTTAATGAATTCTGGAGAGTACTTTTTTTCTCATACTTCTAACTTCATTTATACCAACTTAACTAATTTTATCTTTATTTCGCATAAAGTAGCATAATGTGCGATGTAATGAGTCGTTCACCATTCTACATCTTAATGACAGACTATATAAATTAAATCTACAGGAGTATTAATACTCTTTGAAATAGTAGAAAAAGTTTATTAAAGACTTGCACCTGTAATTTCCATTTAAATTATCCAATCATACTACTTACAATAATTGATAAGATCCCTACAATAGCCAAAGTGTAATTACTCATAGTTTTTTCAAGTTGATGTTGGCATCCTAAATACTAGGAAAATTTTTGATAAAAAGTTTCAAAGCATTTTATAGCAAAAAAGTAAATAAAAATCGATGTGAAATAAAAAATGAAATAAAATAATGAGTATAACCAACTGATCTAATTAGAATTACTTTTTAATAATTCTTGGCGTGCACGTGCCCAAATTGGACGACTAGATGTTGTTAAAATGCCTACAGGTGGTGTTCGTGGGTCTGCTGGAGTTTCCATAATTTTTAATAACTGTTGAATCATTTCCATTTCTGTTATTCTGCCTCTGTCTGATGCACGTACTGGAATGCTATAAAACTGATAATTATTTATAATTAAAATAATCATATAATAACATTTTTATGAAGTATAATTGCATTGACTCGAAATATTAGTGAAAAGAGTATTATAATTATTATTGGAAAATAATGACCGTTTGTATTAAGCATCGACTTCTTTGAAAATTACTTATGTCGTTAAGAGAAAAGTTTCTCTTCAAGAGAATACATGTTATATAATTGTTTAAATGGTTACCGCAAAATTCGAATGAAAATGATAATCAGTTGTAAAAATATAATAGATGTCACGTAATGGGCATACTAATGTGATGTTAGGATTCTGCTTAGATTGAAGACAATGATGATTGTGGTTTTGTCCTATGGACTTTATTTGATAAATTCTTTGAAATGATTATGATAGCTCTATTTTTTGCTTTTATTTAAATTGTGTGGTTTTTAAAATATATATATATTAATAACACAATTATGAAGTTTCATAAACTTTATTTCATTCATTAGAGACTTGGAATTCTTTTCTGTTATAATTTAAAATCTCTAGAAAATCTTACGAACGATAATGAACACTCCAAATGATTCACTGTTTTCCTGATCTGTAGAGATGAAAAAAACTCTAGGAAATCTTATATTAAAATAATATTCCACGTTCTCTATTATTCAAATTTAATGATGAGGAAGATGGAGTATATTTGAATAAAAGTGGAGCCAGAAGATGAAGAAAAACGAATTTTCCTTAAACTTGTAGTATTTGAATTTGATAACTTGAGTTTATTTATTGGAATAAAATTATGAGTAAAAAGAAGTAGGTATTATTTGAGTACATTAGAGGATCTTGGTATGATAACAGAGCTAAAAAACCAATTGCATTGATATTTTATCATACAAAATCCATCCTATGAATGAATTTGTTTAGGTCATTCAAAATTAATTAAACTAATATAAGGAGATAATAGAGTGGGAATAGAAATAATTGTTATAAAAATGATTGGAAAAATTTTTCTTTAAAGAAATTTTAACTTATTTGATTAAAAGTTAAGTTTTTGAAAGTCCAAACCTGATTGTAATGTGCAACAATGATGTGGTCTCCAGAAGTTGTCCGATCTAAAACGATATGCTCATCTCTGACCTCTCCAGGTTTGCGGTATAGTCGAAGTATTTGGTAATGTTGAGCCATACACAATGGTTGCATCCTCTTGCCATCTCTGGTCTTCACATACTCCACTTCAAGTTCTTTTCTACAAATCATTTAAACATACAATTTCTTTAATTCCCAAAATTTTTTTAAATTTCTAAAAATATACAATGTGGACAATCAAAACCAATTGACTCAATAAACCAAGTAATTTCAAAATTAATTAAAATAATTTTAATGACCTCAAAGAGTAGAATAGAAAGCTAGTCAATAAATCTTCATGCAAAATAATTTAAATTAAATAAATCACAAAGAATTATTCCTAATAAATACAGGAGCTATGTATGTTCTTTTAATTTAAAAAACATGAATGAAGATGATTTCCATACATGAAAAATTACTTAGCATGATCATAAACTAAATATTCTTAATCCAAATGTCCGTGATGATTATAAATTAAATTGTTGTTCATTAAAAACCAGACAATTTTCGAATCGACATATTTTATTGAATATATTTTTTAAAACCGGTTGCAGATGTAAATGCAAACATTTTTGAGAATCTTAAATTAAACTCTGCCACTGATTACAAATATTTTCGATGATTATCCATATTTTCAATTTATTACTTTTAAATAATAGTCAGTTTAAACTCACCTTCACAACAAAGTAATTATCAATTTTTTTTTCTTAAATAAGTTAATTAATTTTATTTTAATATATCAGTATTTAATTAACAGTTAGTTATTGATGTGTAATGTTCTTAGGCAGTGGAGTGAATTAACAAAAATTTTTTTCCGTCAAGAATATTTTTAGCTTAGTCATAAATAGTTTGAAAATTGATTTTTTTACAATGCAAAAAAGTTGTGAGCATAACTGATATTATTTCCCATTATCTGTGATTACATTCTAAAATAAAAAGTAGTTATTTTTGTGTTCACTAATATTAAGTATAGATATCGATTATTTCTTATGACATCTGCAAAAATTCTCACCATATCTTACGCACGATAACCAATGCTAAAACATGTCGACCTAATAGTATCGGATTCTAAATCTATAGACTTAAAAAAATAAATGAGACGTTTCTATATATATATGTATATATATATATATATTTATATATGTATATGAACATATGTAAACTCTAGACTATATAATTTTTTGCAGAGTTTCACGCGATCGATGTCACTGTCTGACAATAGAATTAATCGATTTATTATCTAAAAATAAAAAAAAAAAAAATGAAAAAATGAGATAGAAAAGACGTTTAATTGGAATGAGAATTTTACAATAAATATTTATTTAATTGTCTAGTGATATTTAAAATAAATGAAATATTAGCTGTGTACCTGTCTAAAGTTTCTTGATAATTTAATAGCTCCATTAAAAATCTTGCAAGGAAAATGGCAGCCTCTTGTTGATTGGAAAATTTTTTTGGTCTTAAAGCAAGTCCGGGATTGATGTTGATTGGCAATGGTAGAGGTATCGAAAAATACATGTCGTCGAGCCACCATTCAGTTGCCTATTGACAAGCCAATTAATAAGTATCTATTAATAATTATAGATGTTTTAAAAAAAAAAGACACGTTTGACTTTTAGTTATTTTTCAATAGAGCAAATGCATTTCTACGACATGAAAAAGAAATTAGTTATCATTGAAAAAGTTCATTAATTGCTTTGTGAGAATTTCTAAGAGAAATAATTGGCTTCTATTAATATATTATTTAATACGTAGTGTAGTATTCAGTTTTCTAATTAAATAACATAAAAATTTTTTCATAATCTTCGCAATTATTATCTCTTTGAGTATTTCTTAAAATGACTTTTTATTAAAAATAAATTAAAAAATGCTTTATTTATTTTATTGAATTATAAACACTGAAATTGGCTTTAAATAATCAGTAAAATTGTTTGAGACGATGTATTTTCAAAAATGAGCTTATAATCTCATTTTAATTATAATTATTGGTTATTTAATTATTAATATTTACTAAAAATGTCAACTGATTTTTTAATTTATAAAACCATTTATTCACAATATAGTTCAATTGACTTTTTTTGTAATATTTTTTATTTTTAGGTAAATAATTTTTTTACTCTCTAATGTTTTTTTAATTCACTCATTCATGTTCATAATATCTATCAAAAAATTTTGCTCATTAAAAGTGTTTTTATTGTTAAGTTTATTATTCAGTAAAAAAAATAAATGAACTATTAGAAAAATTATGAAATGCTAATGCTACTCAAAAGTAATTGAATTCTTTATTGTCGTAAAATATTTAACACCAATTTAATTCAACTGCAAAAATTTCAAGCTAAAATGAGCACAAATCCTTATTTAATGATCTGTAATCCAGACAAGGATTGGTTCAGTAAAGTAAAGAAAAATCTAATTTAAATTGAATCTAAAGAACAATTCAATATTTAAAAAATAATTGATGTTTCTTATATTTTATTTATCATCTTCAATACTAGAAACAATTACTTTTTTTTTCTACCAATAAGAATCCACTGCATTAATTGATTTACCGAGTGTAATTTCTACATAAATGCGAAAGAAAATAAATTATTACAGACAATAGTTGCGTGAACAATAGATAAATTAAATAATAGTATGAGCTAATCGATTCCTTAAATAGTAGGATTACTAATCGAGAGAACGAGAGAAAGAGCAAAGGTATGAGGGAGAAAGCAAATACAACACACATCCTGCAGGCATGTGAAATAGACAGCCGGATAAATTTACACTAGGGTGAACCTCGATTCGAATTATTAATTATAGCGAAAGGACGTGGAACTAGGATTGCAGATAATCGAATCATCTGACACGGACGTCGTTACGTTGCATCCTTTTCAAGTGTTTCAATTTGACCCAACGTAGTTCAATAACTCAACGTATTCATATTGACGTAACAAAAAAATATTCGTATTTATTTATAAACCTGTTTTTGCTCTATTTTTTATCTTGTCAGGAGGTTGATTGTTTTCATCTTTAATTTCATCTGTTATGTTGTTGGGGTTTGCATCGTTCATTCATTTTTGTTGCAACAATTTATCATGGATTGTTTGGAAACAGAGAGAAAGAGTTCATTAGGCTGCACAAACATTAAAGAAATATTGTAGATTTTTTTTTTTTTGTAAAATAAAAATATGATGTATTAAATAACTCCTTTGTTGTTGAATGATTCATTGAAAAGATTATTTCAAAAGTGAGTTATTATTGGAGATGAGTAATAATTAATTTTGTAAGATTTTTAATTAATAATCATTTACCGTGAATTAAGAAATTCAAAGTGCAATATACTTTTTAATAGAATTTTAATATTATTATTTTACAATTAAAAAAAAAAAAAAACAATCTCTCGCAACCTTCAGTGTATATACGTTAATTATTGATTAATTATTATATAAAAAGACCTACTCAATACTTATTTATCAACTCATTAAGTCTATAAATCCATTGAGAAAATTTTTTTCAAAGAAAATATTGCATAACATCGAATTACTATGATGAACTTTAAATCATAAATAAATAAGGATGAATAATAACCATTTTAACAAAAATTGGAAAGTATTGATGAATAATAAATAATAATATAAAATGGTAAACAAAAGGTTTGATGTTATCTCTATTTTGTTGATCAAAATCTCGAGAATAAAATGTGAAGTATTTTTTTTTGAGATAGCAAATAATACTTTCTACAAAAAAATTGTTGAGTTCAAACAGTAGCTCTAAAAGTAGTTTTATATGTAATAAAAAAGCCACTTTACGAAAGTTTCATGTACTATATTATATTTTATGCAAAAAAAGTGACAGCATAATGTGTGTTGTACAATTTACTCTAGGTGTAACATGATAGTGGCACGTTCGGGTTTAGAAGCATGGGTCATAGAGATTCATGTATTGCATAACAGAAAGGTTTTTATATATAAAATATAAAATACATAAGTACTGTTTATAAACATGATGTATAAACCCTTGTTAAAGTTTTAGGTCATTTAGAAATAAATTATTGTGATGGTTGCAGAGAGAATTCGTTTTTTTTTTAATCTCAAATATCAACTACTGTAATGGTGTTTCGTATCAGCAGAACAATACAAGAGGAAAATATTTTCCTGAATTTAAAAAAAAAATTAATTCAATAGAGTACAATATCTAAATTTTTTGCAACTCACGTGTATATGTTATTGTTCAATTCCATTTGATTTTATTGGTTTCAATATCCCTCAGGTGTTTTAATACCTGAATTCGCATGAGTGTAATAACTTACTTTGGTGAATGATTTTTTTAGTAAAGTAACAGAACACCGAATTTTTTGTTTATTACGTTTTTCAACCTCCGACATGATCGTATGTCACATGTGATATCCAACACCTATTAAAGCGGTGCTACTGATCGAATGTATAGATCTAAAAAGCCTACATATTTTGTCAAGATTTATAGAGGATGATAGTTTGAACAATCTATGTCAATTGTAGATTTTGCTGTGTGCAATAAAATCGATATTGACAAACATATTTGAAACTTTAATGTTTACTTTTTTGCTAAAAAAATAACTTGTGATATTTTTTGTTCGTAGAATTAACATAATTTTTTATTTATAAAATAATAAAAACTTTACATTTAAATTAATGACAATAAATACATTAGATCAAAAGATAGCAGGTCATATTTAGTCTAATAAAAAAAATATTGCATTTATTTTTAAATTTAAAAATCACCAGAAATATATTAAATACATTTGTTTGTTATTTTTTTTTATTATTTTATCTAATAAATTATGTTAGAGTCCATCATTATTTTTTTCTCCAAATGATTCATTTATTAATGTGTCTAACTTTATTAAAAACAATCCATTCTCTGGCTACAAATAATTATTTAATCTCGAATATTGATATCTATTATTAATATGATGAATTAAAAAAATTTTTGAATGCATCAATAACTTGATCAACCACTCAATTATCTGATTTATCAAACACCATTTAATGAAGATTCTGTAACGATCCAATATATCATAAACGACTCTAGAAACCTATCGAATGGTAGATGAGATAATTAGACAGTTGATCACCAACATCTTTAATATCAGCCAATCATAGATGACAACATCGCAATTTATGATTGAAGAAGAAATGAAAAATCGATTGCTCAGGGAAAAATATAGGTATATAGGTAGATCCGAAATACGTTTTATTGTATGAACGTGTAATTACAGTGCAAGAATATAGAAAGAAGTAGATTTCTCAACAAAGTCTTCGTATAGCGTGATTAAAGAATTATAGATTTCGTACAGTCAATGTTTTATTTAAAGAGACTCGTAGTCATAAAAATAGTTACACATTAATTATTTATCAGAGTCGGACGTGCCTTCTGGAATACAGATATAACCAAGTTTCTACCTGCATAGAGTATTTTATTCGGAGAAAATTGAAATAGTATTGATATATATTTAGCAAGTGTTTCTTTCTGATAAGTAAAGATGTCAGACCTTAACAAGTACTTTTCATTTATTTTTAATTTAAAAATAAAAAAGTTTTAAAAATTATTTATAAATTAAATTTCAAATATACTACATTTTATTTTACGTTAGAGAGCCTTCTTTTAAATAATTTAAATATTTTATTTTTAATAAATACATTTTTTAGAAAAAATTTTAATGAATTGAGTGCATTACATTAAATAAAATTCCATTAAAAATTCCCAGAGCACAGTATTATTCAAAAATGCACCAAAGAGTAGAAATGAGTTTTCTGACCTTTAAAAATCAACGCGTGGGATGTTCATTATAAAAATTTCACCTTTCTCTCGTGTTTAGTTTTTAGTAAAAAGAGGAGCGCCTACACTTTTTTTTTGTTATCTTAGTCCAGCGTTGTTTCGATAGCAGTACATCGCTGCCTATTTTTTTAAAAACTCTTGAACAACATTACATTTACAAAAACTCTTTTATTTATTTCATTCCAAAACAAATAACAGCAATAATTCCATCATTTTAATTAATTAACTATTATTTCTTTTCGATTGAAAAAAGTAGATTTTTTAACAAATGACAAATAAATTAATTTTAAAAATTATATAAATAGAAATTAAAACAATAAAGCTGGTAATTTTCTATGTTGGATTAAAGTAAGTATCTTGAGAATATGACTCATAATAAAGACTCGAATGTTGTAAATAATTTTTAAAACAAAAAATCTTTATTTCAGTACATCCATGATATGGCTGCTAAATATACGCACACAAAACAGCTCCTTAATTGCCACTTCTCAGATTCGTTCCTTAGCAAAAAAAGAAAATTCTTTTCTATAATGATACACTCGTATGCATTTGGTAAGAGTTAAGGCTTTTAAGGGGTTTTGATTTGTATATTCCCATCTCGCAATAGCATCTTGAATAAGTACATATATAAACGTAGATTGGTAGTCACGTTGATGGCACAAAATCACGCTCTAGAGTACGTACTATTTGATTCCTATGTACGGGATAGTATTGCTTAAGTGTTATGCAGTGTTGTAGGAGAG